AAACACTCAACAACAAGGTTTTGTCCCTCCCCAACAACAAAGTCTCCAACAGAAATCAGAGAATAAGGATCAAGAAGTGCAGAACCTGCTCCAGGAAATCCTCAAAGGTCAAGCAAGTGGTGCCATGGACTTTAACAAGAAAATGGCAGAGATTAACAACAAGGTGGATTGCAGTTATTCTGATCTTTTATCTCAGCTTTCAACCTTGGCTTCCAAAGTCAAGACTCTAGAGAACAACAAGGGCCACTGCAGTTCTCAAGCTCAAAGATCTTTACCAGGGACATCAGTTGCACATCCAACAGAATACTGCAATGCCATCCTATCGAATGATGAGAATCATGCTGCTGTCAAAGAAATTGAGGATTTTCTCCATGGCAATGTCTCAAGTGCAAAGTGCCTAACACAAGATGATGAGGACGCCATCATAGAGGAGTTTGACTTCCTGTTCTGTGATCTCAATGAGGACATTGAGAAAGAAGGTGGGGAGGCAGTTTTTTTTTTTATGAAAAAGAATGATTCTGAGATTGCTGAAGGAAAGGATCAGAGAATGGTTCAAGGAAGGAAATCTGATGGAGTCTCTAGCACTGGCTCAACAAGGATGAAACCCAAATCTATTCCCAAGCTAGACAACCCAGGAAATTTCTCCATCTCATGCTCTTTTGGAAATTTGAAAGTGGACAATGCTTTGTGTGATTCTGGATCAAGCATCAGTGTAATGTCTTTAGACATGGTGGAGAGACTAGGGATCAAGAGTCTTAAGCCTCACCCCATGTCAATCACCTTTGGAGATTCATCCTCAAAGAAACCATATGGAATCCTTGAAGACTACCCATTGAAAATTGGTGAATGCACAGTTCCAACAGATTTTGTAGTTATGAAGATGAAGAAGACAAAAGAGGTACCTCTTTTGCTTGAACTCCATTTCTGAACACCACAGGATCAAGGATAGACTTTGATACTCAAAGAGTGGTGCTTGCTAAGGTAGATGATGAATTATCTTATCCTCTTAAGCCTCCTCTTGCTGGGTTTTGTGGAGTTATATCTGATGATTCTGATGAGTTGAAACGCTATGGGATGATGTATGTGGGGAGTATTGGAACTATAGAAGAAGCTCAACCCCTTGCATCTGTTGAGAAAAAGAAAGAATCCCTAATAAGACCTGATCTTGAGTTTGAAGGGGATTTCTTTAGTAGCTTGCTTGGAATCTCTATCTCCTACACCAAGTGAGAAGGAGATCAGCAGCAACAAAGGCAATGGCTCAGGGTCTCAAGACAAGAACCCACCAAGAACCAGACCATTCACTCTTGAGTCATCTTCTCAGGTCTTAACTCTCACTCCTTGGAAGTTTGTTGGTGGAGCTGTTGAATACAAGGTTAAAGGCAATGGAAGATCAAGACCATTTGCCAAAGTCAGAGCTATCCTCACACCAGAGTTCATAGACAAAGGATCTGATGGTGTCCAAGAGCTGATGAACAAGGACCTCATGCTTGAATTCATGGACAAGACCTGGAGCATCAAAGCTCCTCCTCCCCCTTACTAAAAAGAGTGTAAGAAGTCAAACTTAGTGACTTTAAACAAAGTGCTCTTGGGAGACACCCCAAGCTTATCCTTGTATATATTCTTTTTAATCTTTTCTCTCATTTCTTTTTGTGTTTTAGGATATTTTGATGGGTTTTGTGAGTTGGTCTCAGGTTCTAGGTGATTTTTGGAGGACATAGCCCAGTGATAAATGAAATGGAGCATGTGAGAGGGCTGAGAGAAGTGTTTAAGGTCTGGAAAACTTGGAGGACGCCTGAGTGCTACCTGGGTGTGCGGCTTGGATAAAGAAAAGACTAACTCGCAGCAGGACCCGCAATCTACACCGAGTTGGTCGTGCTACCTGGTGCAAGAGGATCAGGCCGCACAAAAGAGAGGAAAGGCCAAGGTGACTAAGTGCTGAGTCCTGCGAGTTGGTTGTGCTAGCTGGTGTCCAAGAGCCCAGGCCGCAGCAAGACTCGTAATTCACACCAGCCTGGGCGTGCGAGAAAGAAACAAAAGGGACCAGGCCGCATAAGATCAAGAAGAAGCCTGAGGAGTTTAAGTCCCAAAGTCTGCAACCTGAGAGTGCGGCTCAGTAAGCAATGGACTAAGCCGCACGATGATCCGCAATACACTCCGAGTTGGGCGTGCTGGCTGGGAGCAAGGAGACCAGGCCACACCAAAAAGAAGAAAGGCCGAGGTATTATGTCCCAAAGTCTGCGAGTTTGTCCAAGACAAGTCCATGCCGCACAAGGGAGTTCAGGCCAAGCCAAACCCATCTCCGGTGATGTCTAGCCTCATCTGGTGCAGATACTCACTCCCCTTTTGCATAAGAACCACACCAGGTATCACTCCAAACACTTGTAAATGAGCATTTAGCATTTTTCTTTATCTTTTGCATTTCATGTTTGATTTTTCCTCTTTCTCATGCTTTTATAACACAAGGGACTGTGTTATCTAAGTGTGGGGGAGGGGTTTTGTGTTTACTAATCATGTTTATTCTGCTCTTATTTTCCTTTTCACTTTGAGTCTCATTTTGCATTCATCTAAGTGCATATAAAAACCAAAAAATGGAAAAATCTGAAACATTTTCACAAAAAAATGCTTATGTAGTTGCATTCACATTTTAGGTTGAGTCTAGTTTGCATTTTCATATAGGTTGCATCTAGAGCTATAAATTGGTCGGGCTGACCATGGGCGTGGCCCAATTCATAGCTTTATGGTCGGACTAAACAAAGGCCCAACACAGATATGGTCCTCTTGGGCCTACGCCCGACGAAACCGCGGTCCAAATCGGGTTAGACCCGCGGTCAGTTTGGTCACGCCCAAGTTTTTTTTTTCTTCGATACCTTTGATTTCTTCGATTTCGTCGATCTCTCCTTCACCGATTTCTTCGATTTCGTCGACCTGGGTTTAGCAAGTTTTTTGTTGTGGGTTTTTTCGATTTCGTCGATCTCTCCTTCACCTCTCTCTCTGCGGCGAGAATCAGGTTATCAGGTAAAGTTTCTGTTTTTGTTCCCTTTTCCATCTTTCCTTCTTCTGGGCTTTTGTTCAAATGATTTCTCAATGTCTTGTTTCAGCTTGAAAGTGTTGTTTTACGAATGGATCTGTTAATGTCATAACAGATCAATTTGTTTTAGTTTCTCTTGTGGCGATGCTTCCTCTTTGGTCAATTTGGATGAATTCGTTAGATTAGATTAGAAATGCTTATCTGCTTGGAAATGACTGGTGATTTGATTCATAGAATTGTTTCATATTATTGTTTTTGGTATGCAACATGAATCATTTTGGCTGATTGCAACATGAATTGTTTCACATTATTGCTCATCATCTGATTGCGTTCTTCCATAGTTGTAGAAGAAAAGCTTTTGTGAATTTTCATTTCATACTGAAAAAGCTTTGTTCTGACAATGTCTAAGCTAGAGCCCGTTTGTTAATGCATTGCTCTAACACTGGATTGAGTTTTGTGTCTACTTTTGTTGATTTGTTTTCTGTACTAAACTGTGGTATGTTCTTGTTGCTTATATGGGTTCTTACAAATCTATCTTCTTCTTGTTTTGTTGTTTCAACAGAATGGAAGATATAAGATTGAATGATGAAGACAGTTGTTTCATGGATACTGAAATGGATCATCAAGTGGTGGATGAAGATACCGAACCTCCAGAAAATTTAGAGAAAAATGAAGGTACACGAAAAACCAGAGCTCATTCTAGTCGTAGAGTATCTAAGTGCTGGAAAAAGTTTACCATAATAGGTGGTAAACTACCTGATAGAAAGTATGACGTTAGGTGCAATTATTGCAAGAAGCATTACTTTTTAGATCTTCACAGAAATGGAACCACCACTCTACTTAGGCATATGAGAGTTTGTGCTAAACCCCCTGGAAGTACCCCTAGAAGCTCTCGGAAATTGGATATGGATGTCTTCCGGGAAATGATAGCAATGGCTATTATTGAACATGACTTGCCATATTCTTTTGTTGAGTACAAAAGAATCAGAATGGCTTTCACTTATGCTAATTCTACTATTCAGTTTTGGAGTAGAAATACAGCATAATGCTTCTTCTAATGATTCTATGCAAAGCATTATGAAAAGGCAACTTCAGAAAGATCTAGTATGCAATGGAGAGTTCTTCCATGTCCGGTGTTCAGCACACATTCTAAATCTTATTGTGCAAGTTGGATTGTCAGTGATTGGTGAAGCTCTGCACAAGATTAGAGAGAGTGTGAAGTTTATAAAAGGGTCTGAAAGCAGAGAGATTATGTTTCAGAACTGCATGGAAACGGTTGGAATCCAAGGCAAAGAAAGTCTTGTTTTGGATGTTGCTACACGCTGGAACTCAACACATCTCATGCTAGTTAGA